GATCGTACCGATGACTCTTCCCCTTAACCTATTGTGGCTTGCAGAATTATGACTTAATCATGAAGTCATCAGATTCACTTTGTTTTCAGTCATCATATTCTTACTTTCTATTACTTGCTAAGTCCTTAATAATTTCCTTATTGAGTAATGATATAAGTAGGTAAAACTGATGATGTCAGACATTAACATTTAGGGAGCCCATTGTGACAGATATAACATGGTGTCTCGACTATATGCTTGATGTTTCTTCATATTAAGAGTTTATAGTCAATCAGTATACTTCAGTCATCCACTATAGTATATCATCATGCCAAGAATACTAAATTTGTCATAGGCCAAACTATATGATGTTATTATAGTGCCAGATTTGCCAATACATGGAAAGGCAGATTTGCAAACAGTGCTTTCTGAAGTAAATATATACCTCAAAAATGTGATAGAGAAATAAAACTACAAATAATAACAAATAAAAAAGTACTATAATAAGGTTTGATTATGGTCTATTGCAGGGTTGATTGGAGGTGTGTATCCTTGTTGTGTACTTACCCTTGGTGAGATTACTAACAATAGTCTAAACTATGTGAGATATATAGTAGAAAACAAAACTCCAGCAAAGAAGATGCAAAGCTTATTCACTGACAAGGGCAAAGTGGTAGGATACATTTAATTAAGCTTGTGTATAATACATGGTAAGAGTCAAACTATGTTTGCATTAATTTCTACCAATCCAACTTCAAGACAACAACTTATGAGGGAGTAATTTAAAGCACTGGAGTTGGATGTGAGAGAAATAATCACATATTCACTGCATTTTCAACAAGACATCTTGTAAAAAATGAATTAAGAGTTTTTTTCCTCTTTCCACTTCAAGCACTGCAAGACGAAAGACCAACATGGGGGAAGGTTGGGGCACAGGGCCCCCCAGTACTGTCTGGTCCGTCACATAAATTTCATGCCACACATTACCATGGTGTGGTATAATATATAATATATATAATATATATATATTTATATATATATATATATATATATATATATATATATATATTTACAAATATATATATCTAAACTTAATATAATATATATGTGATATATAATATATATAATATATATATATATATATATATATATATATATATATATATATATATATATATATGTATGTATGTATGTATGTATGTATGTATGTATATATGTATATATGTATGTATGTATATATGTGTGTGTGTATAAATATATATATATATATATATATATATATATATATATATATATATATATATATATATATATATATATATATATATATTATATATATTTATATATGGATATATGTATATAAATATGTACATATTATGTATATACATATTATATATAAATTATTTATATATATTATTTATATAATGTTTTCAATGTTTCAATATGTCATACAAATGCCTTTTTACATTTATTATTTTTTCGACCGTGTTGTAAAGTTTCCAATAAGATACTCCTTATTAAGTCATGCACGTGATGATTTTTATTGTCTCGTAAGGACTTGAGGTTGAAAGGATTGAGTGTGTTTTAAGCAAAGGGAGGTTTGCAGCAGTTTTTTATTTTTAATGGTCTCAGCTGCATCCTTGGTTCTTTTATGATTCAGTTGTCACATAACTCTTAATTCTTTCCATGTTCATGGCCCCCAGCTCTTGATAGGCAAGGCCCTCCCAAAACCTAGCTTGTTATGGTTGTGGGAGGGATGAGATGGGGACTGAGACCCAAGGTAACGGATTGCCCCTACCTTGGGCCTCAGCCCTTGCCTCAACTAATTTTGCTTGGTCCTTTCTTCTCTTCTTTCCTCTTCTGTATCTTCTTTATTACCTTCTTCTATCCCATGTGTGAGAACCGTGCTGAAAGGATGAAAGGCTGGCTTTGTGTCAGTCATGAACGGCCTCTGGGAGCCATGGGCATGGTATTCCCTTGGTTAATTACTAAGCCCTTACCCCTTATGGGGACCCTGGCTCACACATGGCCAGTAATGAAGATTCTTTACCCTCAATAGAGGCATTAAGGCCCCTTCATCAAATAGCCTATCTGAATTTGATTTTGATGGTTTTCCAGCCCCTGCCCCTCCTTTGACCATGGTTCTGACCACTGATGCTAATAACCCCTCTTTGATGCTTACAAACAACTCTAACCATTCTTAAACACCCACCCCCTCTTTGATGCTTACAAACAACTCTAACCATTCTTAAAGTCAATTTCGGCAAGAGGGGCGAAAATCGCCGAAAAATCACCAGAAGGTCCCCTTAAACACCCACCCAGGTTATTAGTTAACCTCTAGAAAACACCTCTTCCTCATCCCCAACATTCTCCTCTTCTCCTGCTGCACAACCCTCTTCAATGTCAACCCGCTCTTCCCTAATTATTACTCTTCATCCTTTTTGTCCTCCCCCTGCAGAACTACTCCACTCCACATCACCCCATCTTCCTCTCGCCCTCGTCCTTCTACTACCTCTACCTCTGCAAACCTTCTGAGAACTCTTATTTGGCCCAGCCAAGTGGGATCAATTCTTTGTGATTCCCCCCACAGCACCCTATTCTGAGAATACCCTTCTCTTTCAGCAGTGCCTCCAGAAACAAGTAGGCAAGGTTACCTTTCGCAGTCACTCTGATTATTCACGCCTTGTCACGGTCACATCTGAAGCCCAAGCTCTTGCACTATCTACCCTAACTGACCTTACTGGCAAACTCATTCCTGCTGAACCTCGCCCAACTCTTAATGCTTGTACTGGAACTGTTTCTATTCCCCCTGGTCAGACTGTGAAAATTACTTACTTTCCTGCCTTAGTGAATATGATGCAGTGGCTGTACAGTGTTACACTCTTCCTCCTAGAGGCCAACGTAAATCCCACATCAATATTGCCAGGATTAGCTTCCATAGACAAGACCTCCCCCATGAGGTTTATATTGGTGGATTGTCTCTTCCTAGTCAATGTCAGAAATGTTGGCATTTTGGCCACCCAGCCAAACATTGTTGCTCCACAGCCCGCTACCCTCTTTGTGCCCAACCTGGTCATGACAGTTCAAATTGCCCTGCTCAGTCATGTACATGTGCCAATTGTGGAGACTCCCCTAATGTGTTTTATATTAGCTGCCCAGCTTATAAGTTTGAATGTGAGGTAGCAGTCCTCAGAATTAAACTAGGCCTTACTCTACATGAGGCTAGACAGGAAGTAAGACAACAAGGTTTTTCTCTCTCAACTTATTCTAAACCAGTCCTACGCTCTGCTTCCCCACCATCTACACAAGATATTTCTGCATCTCCCCAGGTGAGTAGACGTCCTTTGTCTACTCACCCTATCCACCAGTCAAATCCCTTTTCCGTTCTAAATCCAGATACTCCAATCTCTACCACTTCACGCATACCCTACCCCTCCTCCTCACTTTAGTTGTCGTACCAGACAACCTAAACATTCCACTCTACGCTTTCCTACTACATTCTCTCCTACAGTTTCCTCTTCATCTGTTCCTCAGATATCCATCTCCTGCTACTTCTAAAGTATTTGCAGATATTCATCCTTCTTCCCAAATTCCCTCCACCCCCCTTCCTCCTACACCCTCCCAACATACCCCACCCTCTCTAGTACTTCCACTTGAATTTCTCACACGAATCCTTTATATTATAACAGTGTCCATCTCCAGACCCTTCCTCTCCAGACATTTTTCCTGATGCTTTACCACCTTCCCCAGTCTCCCTTTCCCAACCCCTGGATTATTCTCCTCCTACTTCTCCAATAGCCACCTCTGTTTTCCTTGATCAATGTCCCTACTCCTTCCCCAGTCACAGATACACTGCAATTCACATAGTTCCTCTACCCCCTTATATTCCCCCAACCCCTTCCCAAAATACCTCATCCCATCTCCCCAGATTCTTCTCTTACTCTTCAACAGCTATCACTATTCTTCCTTGAACATTTTTCCTGTACCTTCCCCAGTGACGGATACACTGTAATTCACTCGATCGCCCTACCCTCCCCCTTATACTAATTTCTGCTCTAATTCACTTGCTCCCCTATTCCCCCTTTTTACTACCCTACTATCCTATAATGCTCTTAAACCTTTGATCTCTAACACATTTTATTGTAATCTTTAATTCTCCTTTGCCCCTTCTGACGCAATACTTTACCATAATGCTACATGACCTTTGATGTCTAGTACATTTATTTTCAAACATTAAACATTAAACATTGACAGGCAAGGCATGATACTCATTTATGAAAAGTGTATGAATAAGATTGAATGATTTTCAAAGCATATTCCTGACCAGAGGAGACAGTGAAAGAAAATTGAATGATTTGCAAATAACATAGTTATTTGATATTTTGAAACATTCATGATTATTCTTGTCTTCTCAACAAATGTTGCAATGAAATCTGCTAAACTTGCCCATCCCTATGTAATCAGGCTTGCATGCACTCTACCATGAAGGTGGTGGGAAGAACATCCCAAAATGATTCTTAGAATAAATGTGACATTGATTAGTCATATAAAAAATATTTCTTGTAAGGATCTACCTATGGCTCCAGTTAATGTTGCATTTGGAGACCACAAAGTTGACCAGAATGCTGGAGTAAAAAAAATAGTTTATATAAATATATATACATATTAATTTTCTAATTCCAAATTTTGGTCTACTTTGTATAAATATAAGTTATTGGGAAGCATGAAATTCCTGTGAATTATTTCAAAACTCATCCTGATATACCTGTTTTTTCCAGGTACTCAACAGATGAAAGGTGGCATGTTCCTCATTTTCAAAACTCACATCTNCGACCGAGGGGAGAGAGGGAAGAGGGAGAGCGGAGAGGCGAGAGGAGAGAGGAGAGAGAGAGAGAGAGGAGAGAGAGAGAAGAGAGACGATTGAGAGAGAGAGAGAGAGAGAGAGAGAGAGAGAGAGAGAGAGAGAGAGAGATGAGAGTGAGAGTGAGAGTGAGAGTGAGAGTGAGAGTGAGAGTGAGAGTGAGAGTGGGAGTGAGTGAGTGAGAGAGAGTGTATCTTAAAAGTGCTTGGGATGTATATTGTTAATATTATGATCATATGCTATCTGAAAGTGGCAATACCAATGTCATACTTAATAATGGGACTTATTATCACTTGTGTATCCTTGCCCTTTTTATACTAGAAAGTTATAACAATAAGTGTTAAAAAAGAAAAAAAAGGGTCTTGCACAAATTACACATCATAGGTTAGTGGAAAAAAGAAAAACAGATGCACATTACCTATTAATAATTCTTGAACTCAAAATAATTTAGCTGAATTTCATTTCAGGCTTACGCACCAGTCATTTGCATCCGAAGCAAATACGATTTCTTTAACTCGCACTCTCCGTATTTGTTTGGTAGGTAGCCCCTGGTAAAAAGACAAGAATAAATAAAATAATTAATACATAAAATAGTTTTAATAACATTAATGATAATTACAATACTTCTGAATTTTTCCTGTGATTAACTTTAGAGAATCATAACTGGTCTCAAATATGTAAGTTAACTAAACAGAGTCTACATGTTACAGAGAGCTAAAAGAAAATTACTGTGAGTAAAGTGAAGATAAACAGAAATGCAATTTTCCTCTTTACACTTAATCAAGTATTAAAAAAGGAAAAAAAAAACTGTCTTCTCAATTTGGTTATAAGGCTTTTCACATTTTATACAAATGTAGGCTTCTTAAAATATTTTTTTAAAGATTGGGTGATGTAAACATTCCACCTACAATGAAACTGGATGGCTGTCAACTTTTAAGAGAAAATATGTAGAAAGAAGTTAGCTATTTAAGATTCATTACTTACTTAGCACAAACACATTTATTTGCAACACACACACTATGTTTGTTGATATCACACAGTGCTGTATCATCTGGGCCATGTAAATTCATTTTGCAGACCTCCATCAAACTCTGTAGTTTTACTGTAAGAAGGAGAGTTGGCTTAAAAATCTATCAAATTTACATCAGTCAACGTTTGTAAAGTTCAATTATCATTAACTACCCCTATGAGTTGATTAGCTTAAATAAAAGAGACCTGAAATATCACCAAAAAAATTTGCTTTAATTGTTGAATAGTCACCTTTCAGTTGTTCTGTACAAATAGTCTAAAACATAAACTTATTAAATCATTCAATCTTTCTTGCAATGCATTAATCACTAAATGAAAATCCATACTGTCTGATAATCTAATCTTTTATATCTATTTGAGTTTTATCTGCAATACCAAGCTAATCTCAAATTCAATGCAAGAAATACAAGAATATCCTACCTTTACGGCATGAGTAATTTATTCTGTAAAACCCTTCATTACATTCACATACCAAGGATATGCATTTGGCATTTTCCCAACACTCGCCATCATTTATACACAATTTCTCATACTGCCCTGAAAAAAAAGACAAAATAATAAATAAAATTTCTCAAATAACACAGAAAAAGAACCACTTCAAATTATTCCATTCTTACACAAAAAAGAAAAAAAGGACTTACATGACCTACATGTTGGTCTAAGAGAACTCCCCATATACCACATCTTAGTACAACTACAGGTCCCTTCAGTACAACTACAGGTTCCTTCTATGCAATCCGGACCCAGTGTACAGTTACTGAATGTGTCACATGCTGCACCAAGTTCACCATCTGCAAAATATGTGTTTTAGGATTAAATCATACATTTCATATTGCAAAAACTTACTAAATTATTGTTTATAATAATCAGAGTTATTTACTCTAATTAATTATTTTACTCAACTGCATCACTTCCATAAATAATATCCAAATCAATAGTCAAAATTAAATTTCCTCTATTGAAACCTGAAAAAACATGTATAAAGGCTAAGAAACCAAAGGAATGATATAGAGGGGAAAATACAGCAACTGAAGCAAATGGAAAGACACCTCAACCCAGTAACAGTGCAAAACCTGGAGTTCCTTACTTGTTACATCAGCACATAAGATGACAGATATCAGTAGCACAATCTCTCTTGGGCTCTTCATGATATCTGCATTATGCTAGTGACATAGCCATATCTTCATGTACACCAAATAAAGGATATTTTCTTGCTCCTCAATGATACATCAGAAGCAATTACATCCTCTGTCCTATTTTTCTGTGAATAAAAAAAGAATTAACATTGTCATAAGTACTTTGTTAAGTTAAAATTTACAATACCAGTCCCTCATCCCCCCATTCTCCAAGTTTGATGATCGGATTTAAAAAAATTAATAACCTTGAATCTTTTTGCTTTCCCTGTCTTGAGGACTTTTGGGGAGTCCTCTATTACATATTTTAGAAATACTGAATTATTCAATGTATCTGCTATTTTCATCAGATTATTAAAATCACGCTGACTACTGGTGCAGGAGCCATATCCCAAATGGTGATAGCTATTTGTATGGCCATGTCCTGCACATGCACGATGAAATCATACTTCCACAGTTAATCTTTACAATAAGGATACACTTAGTTCAGGCTAATTGAATATGAAATTTTTGTACAAAACAAAAAGTTGCAGTCATCGGTACAAGAAATAATCTACAGACATGAATGGTAAAACCACACATAAAGAAAAAAGATAGCAGAAAGTCCACTTAGTACTCCCGAGCTTTAGCACTATTGTGCTGTCCATACAAGGTGAAGGCAATCTGCCGATTTGTTAAAATTGTGCGAGGCCCGACCCAAAGAATCATATACACGACATGCAAGCCAATTTTATCCTGTGGGTGTTGGGGGAAGAGCCCCCATCAGTGAGGTGATGGTGAGGTGAGGTGAGGTGAGGTGAGGTGAGGTGAGGTGAGTGAGGTGAGGAGGTGAGGTGATGGTGAGGTGGGGTGAGGTGGGAGGTGAGGTGAGGTGAGGTGAGGTGAGGTGAGGTGAGGTGAGGTGAGGTGAGGTGAGGTGAAGGTGGGTGAGGTGGTGAGGTGAGGTGAGGTGAGGTGAGGTGAGGTGGGGTGGGGTGGGGTGAGGTGGTGAGGTGGGGTGGGGTGAGTGTGAGGTGAGGTGAGGTGAGGTGAGGTGAGGTGTGAGGTGAGGTGAGGTGGTGGGTGTGTGTGGTGAGGTGAGGTGAGGTGGGTGAGGTGAGGTGAGGTGATGAAGGTGAGGTGAGTGTGGTGTGGTGTGGTGTGGTGAGGTGTGGTGTGGTGTGTCGTGGTGTGAAGTGAGGTGAGGTGAGGTTTCCAGTGCCGTACTTAATACCCGGTGATAACACTAACAGCAAAAAAAAAGAATCGGGATACGGCTACGGTAATGGTATCCTCGGCCTATGAAAACTTGATTTGTCTGATTTTCCGGCTAGTCTAATGTGTACATGATCTTTGTGTTCTGCTTGACTGGGAGTTGTGCTGTCTGTTCTGGGTGGTTGGTACACTTCCAGTTTCTGTCAGCTCCGTGTTTCCGGCGCAAGTCTGGGATATAGGGTTAAAGTGCAAGTCCAACAACATCAATTATTCCAGCTTAAGGCACTTCATTGCTATTTGGTGAACTACATCATGGTCACAAAATTCAATGGCAAAAGGACATACGCCGTAAGTTATGGTTATAGTACCTCAAGCGATCTCCCCTGCACGCGGTAAATTTAAATGAGGTTTATTTGATTATCCTTTATTTACGTGTTACATGTCTCATTGTTACAAAACGTACGTTATTTGAATCTCTTTTGGTAATATATCGATTAATGAACACTTTTATGAAGGTAATGTACTACAATGAATGGGGAACCACAACCACCCTAATTCTCCTCTTCTCTTCTTTCTTTTCTCTTCTCTCCTCTCCGCTCTTCTCTTCTCTTCTCTTTCTTCTCTTCCCTCTCTCTCTCTCTCTCTCTCTCTCTCTCTCTCTCTCTCTCTCTCTCTCTCTCTCTCTCTCTCTCTCTCTCTCTCCTCTCTCTCTCTCTCTCTCTCTCTATATATATATATTATATATATATATATATATATATATATATATATATATATATATTATACACACACACACACACACACACACACACACACACACACACACACACACACACATATTAGGGGCCATGGTAAGCCTGAAGTATGTTGGGGAGAGAAATGGATCACCCACTAGTTGTCTATCCCATACCCTTGAGGGCTATGGTATAGACAACTAAACAGTGGAATGCCATGGCAATGGCTCCACTAGGCTTTTTATAATATAACCTGGATAATATAAGGGGTTGGGGAAGAAAAGGAAAAGTAAAAGGGGAAGAAAAGCAAAATTAGCGGAATTGAAGGCTGAGGACTAAAGTAGAGGTAATTCCCAATACTGGTCTCAATCTCGGTCTCCCCCCCCCCCAGACAGCATCGGGGATGGTGGGGTTAAATAGTCGTTATGTTGTTATTAATCATTATGACATTTTTGAATAGGTCCACAACTTAAAAACATCAGGCTTTTAATATAATGGTTAATGGTTAATGGTTAAGATAAATGTGTTAGACATCTAAGGTCATATAGCACTATAGGAAGGTATAGTAAAGGGGGATGTCAGGTGATAGTTGCTATGTGTCAACTATCTAGAGTGATAGGTGAATGGGGAAAAGGTTATGGGAGGTAAGGGAGTTAGATCAAGTGAAGGAAATAGTGAAGGAGAACAGGTTGTCAAGGCAGATGCTATCAAGGTCTATATAAGTACTTATATAGACCTTGGATGCTATGGGATTCTGTAAGGATGTCTGATATGTTGGGAGGTCGGTGAAGGGAGGATAGGTTGTGTGCTGTACATGAGCGTGACATTGCGTGACATTAGATAGGCGTGTGTTAGGCGAGTGTGGCCAATACGTAAGCGTGCGAGGGCCGTCTCCCAACGTCTGTTTTTGTGAAATGAAGAGTGGGGGTTTGGGGACCGTACGTGAGCGAGAGAAAAGGATGGGGAAAGATTTGGAGGTAGAGATGCGAAAGCCATGGTTGGTGGCCCAAGAAGTTACTGATGTTATTGCAGACTGTAGGAATTGACAGAGATCTGGTATAGATGTGTCAGATGCATAGATGGTTAAGTCATCAACATATAGTGATGCTCGGGCTCCTGGTGGTAGGACTGAGACTATGTCATTTACAGCAAGAAGGAATAAAGTGGTACTAAGCACACTTCCTTGTGGGACGCCTTCCAATTGAGGAAAGGATGATGATGTGGAAGAAGCAATTTTGGTGATTGTGCTGTAGGGGAAGAAGGGTTAGAACGTTTAGTCTGTCTACTGCAGGTAGTGCGGGGAGGGAGAGGGGGTGGTGTTGGGGCTGTAGTTGAGATTGGAGCTGTGGTTGAGATTGGGGTGTCTAGGTTTAGAGTGGCAAAGGAATTGGTCTGTGGGAGGTAGAATGTAGAAGTGGAAATGGGGACTTCTTTGGGTGGAGGAGGAGGGGCTGAGCGAACGATGTTACTAGAGTATGGAGTATGAGAGAAACCTTGTCGACGTGCTTCCTGTCTGGCTTCACGTAAAGTGAGACCATTTTTGTATCTGAGAGTTGCTACCTCAGATTCAAACTTGTAAGTGGGACAGCCTCTATAAAATACATTATGGGGCCGCCGCAGTTAGCACATGTTCGTGTTTGTGCTGAGCAGTTTGATCGATTATGACCTGGTTGGGCACATATGGGCATCGGTCTGTGTGGAACGGCAATGTTTGCAGGATGTCCAAAGCGCCAAGTTTTGACGTTGACGGGGAGGGGGTTGGTATGGTCGAACAGGGAGGGATTGTCCACCGATGTAGATACGTAAGGGAAGGTCATGTGTACGGAAGGTAATTTTGGCAATGTTGGTCGGATTCTTTCGTTGACCTTTAGGAGGAATGGTGTAGCAATGTACTGGGGAGAGAGAGACAGTTCCGGTACAGGTATTAAGGGTTGGATGAGGTTCTGCAGGAATGGGGTTGCCAGAATGATCAGTTAACTTTGATAGTGCTATAGATTCAGTTTCTGATCTGAATGTTACCAGACGGGAGCGATCGCGTCTGGTATAGAAAGGGACTCTGCCTACTTGTTTTTGGAGGCATTGTTGAAAGAGAAGAGTGTTGCCTGAGTAAGGAGCTGTAGAAGGGATCACGAAAAATCGGTCCCATTTAGCTGGGCTAAACAGAGTATTTAAGATATCGGGGACGTGTGGAAGAGGGAGTATTACAGAATGATGGAGAATAAGGCTGCAAGGTAGTAATAAGGGAGGATTGGTTGTTTGATGTAGGTTGCTGGGGTAGAGTTGATGAATTTGAGAAAGTTGGGTGGGTAGGAATGTCTTCTGGAGATTGATTCTCTGCTTGGGTGGGTAATGCACTAGTAGGCATTGAGGAGTGGGTAGTAGTTTGTGTTCAGAGCCGTGGTCAAAGGAGAGCCTGGGTTGGGGCTATTTGATAAAGGGGCTAGCCTCATTTTCATTACTGGTCATGGGGAACCTGGATTATATAAAAGGCATTAACTGGTCCACCTCCATTGCTAGTGAAAGGTAAGGGCTAAATTAGTCGGGAGTACCGTGCCCATAGTTCCCGCAGGCCGTTCAGGACTGGCACAAGGTCAGCCTTTCATCCTCTCAGAACGCTCTCACACCTTAGGAAGTAGATAGTAGAAGGGGATGGAGAAGGGATGGAAACAAAAGCTGGAGGGGGAAAAGACCATGCAAAATTAGTTGAGTCGAGGGCTGAGGCCCTAGGCAGGGAGATCCCTGCATTGGGTCTCAGTCTCCGTAAGCCCCCCCATGACAACAACGGGCAAGGGATTGGGGGGAAAAGGAAAAGGAAAGGGGAAGAAAAGCAAAATTAGCAGAATTGAAGGCTGAGAACTAAAGTAGAGGTAATTCCCAGTAGTGGGCCTCAATCAGACAGCATCGGGGATGGGAGGGGTTGAATAGTCTATGTTATTATTAATCATTATGAAATTTTTTTGAATAGGTCCACAACTTACAAACATCAGGTTTTTAAATAACTGGGACTAATGGAAGATGTAAGGCTAACTGATAACCATATTTTAGTCTTAGAAGGTAGTAATTTCATTACTTTACAAATCATGTAATAAAGGTATGGGAAGCTATAAAATTTTAATTATTAATCTTGCAAGGTTTACTTAATTTCTTGCCTTCAAATAATTTTACTTAATTTTGCCTGAAGCAATATATAATTTTGTTACAGTATAGAGAATGAATTTAGCCAAACATTTTTACACTAAATTAAAAATATCTGTCATGCTTATTAAAAAAAAAAAAAAAAAATCAAATCTATATCACCCAAGTAAGTTTCCAGTTTGAAGCTGAAATTAAGTTTAATAGGTTGATGAGAAAATTGTTTTCGAATGACTAAGAGGTTTTAATATATTGCCAAGGAAATCAATAAATTCAGTACAGCTGAGCATTTAAATTCTTTGGAAATTGTTAATACATATCTTATTAGTAAAGTTTTGTGACTCTACTGTAACAATTTTTATTTATGAAACATTTTGCACTTAATAAAAAGTTATTATTGTCATCACAGCAGTTGTCTTTTTTATCTCTAAATGGCTATTTCAAATGAAAATCAAATCCTTTCATTAATTGTGCTAATGTAATGTTAAAGTTTTACAAACCCTTTAATTCTACTGAAGTGTACCTTTTCTATAAAATTCAAGTATCCGCTTGCATTGATGACTTTACATACAACTACATACTCATACAAAATACTCATGTGGGTATGTGCTTCTGGGGTGTTGCACATGTAAGTATATGAGTGAAATATGACAATATTAGATTTCATTAAAAAAAAAAAAAAAAAAAATCTACGAATGAGGATAAAAATAATACAAATATAACTGCTCATTATAATTGAAAGAAAAACTACACTTAAAACAGCAGTAAACCACCTTCATCAGCCTTAAAACTGTACATTTGAAAAGGAAGCACTGTATACAATGGCTGATATAAGTAAAATGTACAATGGAAATTAAAAACAAGATAAGGTGGGGCTATGGGTGACAGCTGAACTCCATATCACAAATAAACTGAACAGCTGAAATCCACATTACAAATTTGTTCAGCCATATTACATTATATTACCTGTGACAAAGTATCATAATAACAAGTTCTATTGACTCTTGTCTAATTGCTATTTGCCAATTTTACAACTTTCCCATAGTCTGATGAAATAAATGAATAAATTGATGATAGTGAAATACACCTTTTTTACTAAGTGACTTAATCCACTGTACAATCAGAGGAACCATTTACATAAATGGGTAAAAAATACAAGTTGACTGAACAAAATTTTACATACTGAATATTGTTCAAATCACACTGTAGGTAAAATTTAATTTGAAATGTTCTATGTGCATCGTTTATAGTTAGTGGAGATCTGGTATTCTGCTTTCATCATAATTTCTTCCAAAGACTGAACATAATGCATAATAGTAATTACAGACTATAAACAGCCAAAGTCGGTTTTCCTAAATTTTCAAACGAGTTGAATCCAAACTTATATACTATTTTGTGTGACTGTATATAAAACATCATAGCGCTTTTGAAATACTTGTATCTCTCTCACTGCACTGTTCTTGTAAAACCCTTTCCTGTATATGATA